TTTTTCCAGATAGAATGTATCTGTTGTAAGCCTTCTCAGATTCCTTGGTAAGGAGACATAAAGACACAAATGATGTAGAACCTTGCTATTTCCATCCACAAGTGCACTTGAATGAAACCTGTGGTTTAGCAGACATAAGTAACCTCGACTACCTAGCCTTTCCAGAAGAAAACACGAAGCAACAGCGATTATGGGTAGCATTGTATTATTCTCAGCCTGCACTAAATTGTCACTGTCTTCATCAGAGTCTTCCTCCCTTTCAAATCTCCCCCACTCCTTTCTTTTGGGGGCAGATGCAGAATTGAATTCCTAGAAAAATCTAGTAGATTCTGTCTCAATCCTCCCAGTGTTGCCCAAACACGATCTCTTAAAGTTAGGCAACAATGATTACATTTTATAGAACAAATTTTCTGGAATTTTTATGCCCAGGTTGCTGATTTTACTCTGATCTCCGATCTCCTTCTTGGCATTCTTATAGGCCCTATGGATGACACGTCTACATACACACATACCTCACCTCTGCATACTTCTACCCATCCCCCAACACACAGTTCAACCTTGTGTGGCCATCGCCGCTCCCCATCCCTCATGTAAATGCTTACGTTCACATGGATAAACACTTCCACTCACCTCAGAAATCTTGGTTCCTGAAGATTATTTCTGAGGTAATTGGATTTAAGGGTAAAGAGGCATCTTTTCTTAGAAAAATGAGAACAATTGTGGCAAGGGATAAATTGCCCCTTTCCACTCTAGTTCTGAGGCCCGTTCATAATCTAGAGTTTGGGTTCCCCCTTCCCCCAATACCCCAAGGCATAGCCATACATTGAGACACTGGCCCACCTTTCAGGAAGGAGTGGGTATGCCAGAACTGAACTGAATGCGGGGATGACATTAACATCTGTATATCCTTGTCTATGCAAAACATCGCTATAGGTCTTCCAAGTCCTGTTAGTTGATATGCGTAGTTGAAAAACCTGTTTTTTTTCCCCTCTTCATAATGTTGAATTTTTGAAACAGGTTTAGACCACACAGGCAGACCTCCACTGACAAATAGGTTAAGATCCAGCAAGTGACTTCATCTGTTGGTTTGAGTTTTCCCACAAAGCACTGTCTTATGAATGTTTGCCCCTGGCTAGTCAACTCAAAGTGCCTGAAAGACTGCACACGTACATTAAAAAACAGTACGAAACAATGCTGCGAATGAGTAAAACAGAAAAGGAATACATTTGAATAAAACTATCTATATAGAGAGAATGCTGAGTTTTTAAAAAGATTTACTTGGAGAAAGGTGAATAGTTAACTGGAGACACTTTATGGAGCTTCTCAAGAGAAGTCTGAACATTCAAAAGTTTTTGACAAGGTTCTTTTATTCCTTTTGATCTATTTTCATTTTGAATATTTAAAGCAACCGAGTCTTTTATGATGTCCAAATTCACTTCAAAATATACCTTGCATTTTCCTTGATCCAGAAGGATTACTATCCCTACACATATGCTTGCCGAGTATGTTTAACATTTGTGTTATTAGTAGTTATGAGTAGTATTAGTTGTATTTGAATTACCAATAAACCCAAAAAAGAGAAATGATGAGGAAGTCAGATTTCTAAAGTTAACTTACCAAAATATAGTAGATAAAGACAAAGAAGAAACATTGAAATGGCTCTGGTGAGTTCTGAAAAAGACTTCATAGGAGGTAGTGGGCTAAGTAGATTTTGAGAGGAGAAAGGAGCAGAGGAAGACAGGGTTTGTCCATGATTCCTCTCAGGGGCATAAAGCAGGTGGAGAAATGGCCTTAGATGCTCAGTTCTAGCTGCCATGTGTGCAACTGATGACACATGCCACATTGATGGGATTCACCAAGCCCAGGAGCCCGAAAATGAAACCAACTTTACTTTTCTAATGTTGAACCTAAGATGACCTATTTTGACTAATGTCAGATAAACTTTTTTTCCAGATGTTTTCAAATGTTCTCTGCCCACTCCAGTGATGTTTTAGTCAAATTGAGGTATTAATATCTCTACTTCAGTTCGTTTCATGAATACTATATAGGTACTCTCTTTCCATTTCTTTCTCCTACCCCACTGTCCCCTGCACGCACTGCCTAATGGAAGGACTTTGTTTTTTGTGATGGACCTTGCATGTGGAGGGAATGAGTCTTATGTGTGTGTGTGTGTGTATGTATGTGTGTGTGTGGTTCATATGTGGGATGGCCTGGAGGGTATACTCTTTTTCTAGTCTTATGTGTTTTTTAGCATGGCTGATGTGGGAGAGATTGCTAGTTGTTTATCAATGTCAGTGTATTTTACAGAAATAGAACTCCTGATTTTTAGTTGGACACATGTTCCCTTTGAATAAAGGTAACAATTGCAGCCAGCTGTGGCAGAAGAAAAGTGTACACTTTCCAGGTGGTATCCTTATTTTTTCATTTTCTTGAGTTAGAATTCAGACATGCCAATGAGCCATTTGAACACGCAGTTGTAAACAAGCACTCTAGGACTGGTGGTTCTGAGATAGAAGGCCTCCTGGACAGCCTCATGGGACAGAACTACTGTATCTGTCCTATCCACCCTGGAATGCCTATCCAGTGTGTTTTGTGTGAGATAAATAAATTTAGATTTGCTTAAGCCATTGTAAATTCGGGTCTTTGTTACAGTAGCTGAACTTACATCCTAACTAGCAAGTGGTGGAAGGAGAGGAGGCTAATCAATGTAACAGGATGTTACACATACGAGAAACTTGCTCAATAGGTTGCCAAGAAAAGGTCGTGAATAGTGGACAGATGTGGACTACAAGGAGGTTCCCAGAAGCAGCAATATTGTCTCTGTTAATGCTACAGAGATAACCAAGCCTTTAAGGAACATATTAGAAGTATAGCATTCCCATGTAATGCAATACACAGAAATGCATTGTGGATAAAAACAATTCTTTATCACTGAAACTCAATAAACAACTTAATGTATTCCCTAGAAGAAATGATTAAAACTCCATCCCAGTACTGTTTGGCTGACCTTAAGATCAACTTGATGTTTAGCATCCCATATTTATAGAGTTTAGATTTTAAAGAGGAAGGATTAATGAACATGTTTACTGACTGATTAAAAGAATACATCATAAAGCAGAGAATATTCTTCAGTTGTGGCAAGACAGCAATGTGTCTGTACTTTGCAAGTTGATAGACAGGTTTCAAGGCAAAAAAGTTGGAATCTTGGCTACACAAACAATAAACACCAAAGATACTCATCCAGCTAGATTTCCCGCCTCCCATAGTTCATGGAAATTACCAAGTTTCATTCAATAAGTGTAGGAGATACAGGGAAACAGAGATTATCGGAATTTCATCATGTCCTTGGGCTCAACAGTAATTCTTAGTCCTTCTGAGCACATTTAGATCATGGGTACATTCTAGAAAGTTACATTCTTCAAAGGTGAAATACATCCTTTGCCTAGAGTCAATGTATTATTTAATCAACTGAAATCATTAAAGCCACCTACATCATGACTGATGTGAGAAGTTTGGCCAATGCCCTGGGATGGATTGGGGATGTGCCCAGCACCCTCCCACTCAGTATGCATCCGGAAGCTCTCCCTTTCTTCCAGCCCAGAGAGAATCTGTGTCTGGGGAGGGGTGGGGAGTCTGTGTTGTCTGGGAAGCACCGGGATGCATATCAATCACTCTGTTTGGTGGGTAGCACAGACACACTGCCCCTTTATCCAATCACTATGCAGGCCCTCCCTGGGCCAGAAAGGAGAACTCTTTACAACACAGATGGTGCTATTAGTTTCAGTAAGAATGTTTGTGAAGTGCTTAATAGTTTACAGAGTCCTCTAGGTTATTTGTTTTTATTTTGCCGGGAACTACACTTAGATGGCAGATTTTGATCCTGGTGTTTGCACTTTCCTTCTAACTGACTAATCAACAAAGATGTGCGGAACTTGTCTCCTGGATCTATGATAAAAACGGGCCTAGAAATGTCCCGAGCTGGGAACTCACTGGTTTTTTTACTGGTGATGGCTTCTGATACTACCACCATCCAGAACACCAGGGACCTCTCTTGATCCCACAGAGATCTTTTCATGAATATTTCCCTGGACACATTTCCTCCCTACCCAGCTGGTTGTTTAAATTGATCTTTTCATGTTAACATGTTCAGATTTTGGAGAATACACCCAGTATAGGCAGGTCTGTTCATTTTTTTTTTTCTCGTTGTTCATTTTATTTAGCTTTAGCTTAGCCCACTTATCAGACAACTGTGTGTTGTTGAAATAGTTCACTTCTCTGTTCTACCTTCACATTACATAACTTCACCAACCTATGGTTTTTGGTTATGGAGGAAGCAAAGTCCTTTTTATCCATTGTGACTAGGTCTCTCACTTAGGAACAAGATAGGCTGTACCTCCAGCAGCCTCTTAAGTCCCTTCAACCTTGCTTTGTAGAAAATAATTCAGGCTTCCAATGGGCACTCTGAACTACTGCTTTTTCTCTGTTACTTAAAAGAATTCTGTAGCCCATCTACCTTGACCAATCCCTCATTTTTTTATGGTGTCACTAGTTTGTAACAGTGTCTTCTTTACTCGGGATACGTGCCTCTCATTGAGTCCACAAATCATCCCCCTGCAAGTCTCTTATCAGTACATCTGCCTGTTCATGCGTATGAGTAAGCTGTTAATCAGCTTTTGTTTAATATTACTATGAACATTTCAACTTCAAGTTAATATTGTAACTAGGCCTCTCCCTTAGGACCAGAACAGGCTGTACCTCTAGCAGCCCCTCAAGTCCCTTTGACCTTCCTTTGTAGAAAACAATTCAGGCTTCCAATGGGCAATCTGAGCTGCTGCTTTTTCTCCGTTACTTAAAAGAATTTTGTAGCCCACCTACCTTGACCAATCCTTTATTACTTCTCTGCACGGAAACTGATAAAAATTTGTCTACTTCAGAGGCTAGCATCATCCCTGGCATTTTTTTTTTCTTTTACCTTCCACATTGGTCCCTTTCCCACTCACCAGCCAAAGAAGAGACGACAACAATGCTTCCATTGCTCTGCTTCAGCATGGGCAAGGCAGCTACAGTCAGGACCACATAACTGAGGAAGTTGACCTCCATGCTTTTGCGCACATGGTGAATATCATCATGAAAAAGATTCAAAGAAGTGTTGGTGATGTGGTTGAGAATGAGCATGTCTAGTCCTCCTGCAAGAGATGGCTATATTAAGAAATCATCTGGGGTTGACTTCTTTCCCATTCTCCTCCCAAAAGCTCTTTGGTGACCCCAAGGGCAAAGTTCAGAGGAGGAGGGAAGAGAAACAGCCTTACCCATGAGCTTTCCTGCTTGGGCAACAAATTGCTCTGCGAAGGTCATGTCTTCCATGGTGCCAGCAATGTAGTGTGCTGAGGCTGCTCCAAGTTCCAGGCAGTGGGAAACCACCTGCAGTGACAAAGCAGAAATGGCATCAGTCTTAGCTGCAGACTTTTGGGGCATAGTATCTGAAGTAATGGGGGGCTTAAATGAGAGATTGCTCACAGCCCTGTTTAGGTAAGAAATGGTAAGTATGTTTGTGTGTGTGTGTTGCCGAATATAACCCTCATGATCATCGTCCTCTCTCTGAAATATTTTCTGGAACATGGTGGGGTTTAAGTGAATAAATCATCACAGTGCTGGGGTTTAAGTTCATGATTTATGCTCATGGCTTCTGTGAATAGGTATTTCTGAAGGCAATATGAGTGTAGATGTTGGTTACTATGTGGGTAGCTCGAGGTTTGTGAATATTTGTACATCTTTGGGTTTGTGAGTCTATGAGAGGGCATGTGCCTGGGAGTCTGCATGGGTATGAGGATACGTATTCATGAGCAGGTACTGGGATTTCAGTTTTTGAAAACATCTCTATGTATCTGTGGTTCAATGTGTAAATGTGTGTGACTAGGCATGTCTGTGAGCATATATAGCTCAAGGACTCTGTTGCAGAATCTCTCTCTCTCTCTCTCTCTCACACACACACACACACACACGAATGAATATTTAAATGCATACTTTTATATTCCTGTGGGTTTTTTGGTGTTTGAATCTATATATGAGAGTACAAAATTAAGCGTGTGTGTGTGTGTGTGCATGTGCATCTGTATATAGATCTGCGATATGCTAGCTTCTGTGTATATGTGAGCATATATAAGAACATATCTGGGCATGTGAGGGTACATGTATCTGCAGGCATGGAACCCTCACCTTCTGTAGAGTTTCTTTTGACCTCGCTGTTACCACCACGTGGGCTCCCATCTTCGCCAGATGATAAGCCATCTCTCTTCCAATCCCTTTGCTGGCCCCTGTGACAATCACTTTCTTTCCTTGGAGCATCTCTGAGGAACCCCAGAAGGAAGTGAGGACCATACCCAAGTTGGCAGCAAAATTCCTTCTCCCTCTCTGGATATAGGCAGGCTTATCTCAATTTGTAACTTAAAGGTTATGAGCCCAGATCAGTTTGTCACAAACTCTGTAAATCACTGTGGGAACAGGCCACGTCTTTCATAAACATGCTCTGAAGTGGGAGGTTTGGGCTGACAGCCTCCCTACTGTCATTTCTAAAAACCTCCATGGAAAGAGATCATAGGATGAGGCCAGAAAAGTCATACATGGTTCAGCTAAAATGCTGGAGTTCCAGACATTTCTGGACTCTTTCAATTTTGCTCAATTGAAAGTATATTTAACAAGGAATCAAAACACATGTGTTCATAGAAATTCCAGGGATTTTCCCTCACTTCTATGTAGTCATCATCTCCAGAGATTTTTTTTTTCTTTGCCTCCCACTTATCAGTCTCTTCATAGAGCCCAATTAGCTGGCTGAGTTGTGAATTTGGGTATTACTCTCATTTTTGTAGAATATTTGAAATTGCTTTCCATTAAGGGTGCCAAATAAAGCATGGCCTATTTGGCAAGATTTTGGCTACACGATTACCCTCCCTACACATTCCCCCCTGCCCACAGCCTGTAGCTGGAGGACACAAAAGTACTGTTTTACCTCAGGGTTCCCTCATTTTCACCAACTTTGAGGATCAAGAACCATCTTGGTCCTCAGGAACACTAAGCACCCCTGTGTTTTTAAAACCTATTCCTCCAAAGTGAGACACATGGGTACTTACCTGGTCTGAATTCCTCATATGCAGAATAGTAGTAGTAGGCCATGAAGAGCCCCAGAATGGGGAGGAGATATTTTTTCATAAAAGCCATCCGACAGGGAGCTGGCCTGAAGACTCCTGTAGGACACACAGAGAGAACCTACAGAGCTTTCTACAACCTCCTAAGCAGGCAGCAGCCTCTGAATTGTGACATCAGGGACGGGGGAGGCTGGAGTAGTCTCAGGCAGTGCTAGCCAATTTCCCTGTCAGAGCAGCGATTGGCTTTGGGTGGGATCCCATTCGTCCCTGGCAGCCTGTGTGGTGGATTTCATAATGGACAATGTTTACTCCATTTCATTGAGCAAGAGGAGACTTCCAGATGGCCAAGCTCATGACTGTACAGGACTGGATTCCTGAGCATCCCTACCCAAGTCCATCTTACTCTTAACACCATTTACGCCAGGGATCAATGATCTTTCAAAAGTGATTTGTCAAAGACAGAGAGGGAGGAGTGCATGTAGGGCTTCTGGGGGGAAATGTGAGTAATAGCAAAGAGAGCCAAACTCAAGCTAAATCTCACTTTCAGTCCCCCTACTCCCCCACCCAGTCGGAAGCAATTAAAAATAACAGCACAAAACAGCAAAATAAGCTTAAGAAAAAAAATGTGCACATTTTGGGAAAAAATAATGAAAGCAAACAAGCTCTATAAGCCCCACACTCAAGTTCAATGAAAAAGTATTACAACATCAAAGGAGAAATTGCAAACCAGCCAGAACCCAGATGGCGGGAAATCCAAGACTGGTTCAAGACTCTAAGGCAAGTGCAATGGATCGTACACTTATTACTTTAACAGAGAACAAAGAAGAAATAATGAGTGACAAAAAAGGCACTAAACTATTAAACTGGGTCTTGTAAATTCTGTAGAGGAACAGGAAGCATGGAGAAGATGCTAGAAAGAGGCGACCTGATATAGAAGAAAAAAGAACTAGCATTAGGCAAGTGAAACTAGCTGGGGACGCCCACACCAGCTAAAAATAGATCTAGTAACAGTAAAAGGATGAGGGTGGTGAGAAACCCCTAGCAACTTAGAATTTATTATCAGGGAATATAAAAATAACCACCTCAGTATGTCCGTAGCATGAATTCATGAAGGAACAATCCTCAAAGAATTTAAGCTGTATCATTGTTAAGTTTTTCACCTCAAAACCAACCAATCAAATCATGGAAATTACCCCATCACAATGCAATCCTGCGTTCTGCGTTCTGTAAGTTATCAGTAGAGCAGGGAAAAAATTTAAATGTGATAATAAGTATCAGTGCTTTGGAGGAGGGATAGGAGTTGGGAGTAGTGGGGGACAGAATTTACACAAGGTTAAGGGAAATTAAGTTATGATTCCAAGTGCAGTATCTGGAAACACTCATCAAATTTTCACTTTAGAGTAAGAAAAAATAATTTAAGACCCAGAGGAGATGAAACAATTTGTCAACAAAGGCTCACAGCTGTGAGGGTCACTTGTAGAAAACAATGGAGATTTGAGAACAGTTGAGGGCTAGACAGAGCTCGAGGTCTATGAAGGACAAAAAGAGAAAAAAGATAAAATTCAAGTAAAAATTAGATTACATGCCTTTAGAACTGTAAGATACATTTGTATAATTTTATAAAGATATGCATGATAGCAAGATATATTACAGACTAGACTCCGTTTTCATCCCTAGAGGAAAGGAAGTACCAGCCAGAACCCAGATAAGGTTTATTTTCTTAAACCTATACTATTAATAGTAAAATTGTAGGAAACAATGAAAAGTTATTTTGAAATATGATGATGCTGACATGATAGAAAGATGGGCAGACTAGGGACCTTTATTGTCTGACATAAAAAAGAAATAATGAATTTTAAAGTCCATTAAGAAAACATAAATTTAAAGAAAGCAAAAATAACAATGAGTAAGATAAACTGCAGAGTAATAGAAAACAAAGCAAATGCATTAACAATTGCTGATTGTTGGCTCCATTAAAAAATGAAGTCCAACATTGTGTGGCCTCAAAAGACACATTTAAACCCAAAGACACAAACAGATTAATAATTAGATGACCTAATAGCTACGATGCTAGAAAATAAGGATATGTCAAAAGCATCCAATAAAGTGATTTTCATGGGATTAGATAAAATAATTGCTATATAAAATGCATTAATGAGAAACAAGCACACTGTGTAATGGTAGTTGATGCATAAATCTTAGCAGTTCTCAAATTTTTGGTCTCAGGACCCTTGTATACTCTTAATAAATTTCCAAGGACCTCAAAGAACTTTTGCCTGTGCAGGTTTTACCTATTGATATTGCTATTGCAGTTGATGCATTAGAAATTAAGACTGAGGATTTTTTTCTAAAACTCAAGAATACATAAGCATACATTCTATTAGCAGTCAGGGCAGTGGCATTAGCATACATCCCGTAGCCTCTGGAAAAGTGAGGTAATGTCTTAGTGTAATTATGAAAATAGTTTTGACCTTTCAACCCTTCAAGAGGGTCTCAGAGACCCATGGGGACTACACTTTAACCATATTATATAATAAACATCTAATCCACTTTGTGTCCATATTTACATGACTGGTTCTCTCATTAGCTTGTAAACTCCTGGAGGACATGGATTATGTCTTTTTCATCTTTGTCTCTTTCCATTTCCCACTAGCCTTGCTTCAAAATAGGCATTCAATAAACTTGCTGTTTCAGTGTTTTTGAGATGCTGCAGCAATAAGAAAATTGCTGTCTTCCTGGAGCCTGGTTTAATCTGGGGAAATCACTGGGATTCAGCATTCTGGTCAGAACAGATCAATCCCATCCCCCAAATCTTCTTTCTGGGGTTCTCAACAAAGTTTTAAAAAATAATAAAGACAAAATGAAATACAACTGTTTTCGGCTAGCATTTGTTTCAAGTCAAGTATTCCCTGATTGCATTAAAGTTCCATAGCAAAAGGGCGAACTGTTCACTCCACTCCTTGCGCCCTCCTTTGTAATGCACTGACCATTCACATTCCAGAGCAGGCTTTCACCGGATACCTGGAGCCCACTTGCACCGAATGGGCTTTTCACTGCTGGAGGTGAGTATTAGAGCCCAGCCAGGAATTCTCTCTGATTTGATCATTCCCACCGGAATAAATGGAATCAAGCACAAGCAACAGAGTGAAAAGTGCATAGGGGCTGAATGAACAAGAATGGGACTATGAAGGATGGGCCAGATCTGGGGAGACTGATAGGAGATGGCAAAAATGTGAGGAGGGGCAGCCAGAGGGGAAGTTCCTTGCATTTGGCATAAAACGTAGATCATGAAAGAAACACCTGCCATTTAGAAGGGGGCAGCTGTAGTGCTTTTTCATGACTGTTTGGTAGCTTTGTTAAGCAAGTGGTCTCTTTTGAAAATGAATCTTTTTGGGCAAACCTGAGTAAAAAGTAGGTGAACACTGTGTTCAGAGGTTCTGCCTTTCCTGGGAGAATAACACTGCAACGTTGAAACAGGAGAGGATCTTAACATTAAATGAGAATTGATAGGGTTTGGCTGTGTCCCCACCCAAATCTCAACTTGAATTGTATCTCCCACAATGTCCACATGTTGTGAGAGGGACCCAGGGAGAGGTAATTGAATCATGGGGGCTGGTCTTTCCCGTGCTTTTCTCGTGATAGTGAATAAGTCTCACAAGAGCTGATGGCTTTATCAGGTGTTTCCACTTTTGCTTCTTCCTCATTTTTCTCTTGCCACTGCCATGTAAGAAGTGCCTTTTACCTCCTTCCATGATTCTGAGGCCTCCCCAGCCATGTGGAACTGTAAGTCCAATTAAACCTCTCTTTGTTCCCAGGTTCAGGTATGTCTTTATCAGCAGTGTTAAAATGAACTAATATAGTAAATTGGTACCAGTAGTGTGGGCTGTTGCTGAAAAGATATCTGAAAATGTGGAAGTGACTTTGGAACTGGGTAACAGGCAGAGGCTGGAACAGTTTGGAGGGCTCAGAAGAAGATAGAAAAATGTGGGAAAGTTTAGAACCTCCTAGAGGCTTGTTGAATGGCTTTGACAAAAATGCTGATAGTGATATCAACAATAAGGTCCAGACTGAGGTAATCTCAGATGGAGATGAGGAACTTGTTGGGAACTGGAGCAAAGGTAACTGTTATTAAGTGTTAGCAACAAGACTGGTGACATTTTGCCCCTGCCCTAGAGATTTGTGGAACTTTGAAATTGAGAGAGGTTTTTTAGGGTATCCGGCAGAAGAAATTTCTAAGCAGCAAAGCATTCAAGAGGTGACTTGGGTGCTGTTAAAAGCATTCATGTTAAAAGGGAAACAGAGCATAAAAGTTCAGAAAATTGGCAGCCTGATGATATAAAAAAGAAAAACACATTGTTTGAGGAGAAATTCAAGCCAGCCACAGAAATTTGCATACGTAGCAAGGAGCCAAATATTAATCCCCAATACCATGAGGAAAATGTCTCCAGGCCATGTCAGAGACCTTCACAGCAGCCCCTCCTATCACAGGACCAGAGGCCCAGGAGGAAAAAGTGGTTTCATTGGCCGGGCCCAGGGTCCCTGTGCTATGTGCAGGCTAGGGACTTGGTGCCCTGCATACCAGCTGAAAGGAGCCTGAAAGGAGCTGAAAGTGGCTGAAAGGAGCTAGCCTAGAGCTCAGGCTTTCACTTCAGAGGGTGGAAACCCCAAGTCTTGGAAGCTTCTACATGGTGTTGAGCCTTCCACCTGGTGCACAGAAATCAAGAATTGAGGTTTGGGAACCTCTCCCTAGGTTTCAGAAAGTACGGAAATGCCAGGATTCCCAAGCAAAAGTTTGCTGCAGGGGCAGGGCTCTCATGGAAAACCTCTGCTAGGGCAATGTGGAAGGGAAATGTGGGGTTGGAGACCCGACAGTGTCCCTACTGGGGCACTGCCTAGTGGAGCTGTGAGAAGAAGGCCAGCATCCTCCAGACCCTAGAATGGTAGATCCACTGGCAGTTTGTGCCATCTGCCTGGAAAGCCGCAGGCACTCAATACCAGCCCATGAAAGCAGCCAGGAGGGAGGCTGTACCCTGCAAAACCACACCTTTTGCATCAGTGTGACCTGGAGTCAAAGGAGATCATTTTGGAGCTTTAAAATT